TTTCGCGTTTGTGATCTTGAGACCTTTGTGGTAGCCGGCAGCAGTAGGCGTGCTTCCAGCTGCATGAAGGTAGATGGGCAGCCAAGCGACACGGCGGAGAAGGTCGCAGCTTGAAAGCACCCTTTACAACCTCAGACATCAGTTTCTGGTGCCGCTGCCCGTGCCTTCGATTCGACCTTGCTGTGCATATCACCCCATCATGGCAAAGCCCTCTCCATAACAACCAGAAGAACTTAAGGGTCTGAAAAGGGTTTTGAGTTTGTGATCGGGGTAACGACATGTCTTGTTTCACAGTTGCTGCTGTAGCGAGGTAACGATCTCCACAAACGAGACGCACAACGTCGACGACGCTGGGTTGCAAGGACAAGAGACATGCGGACCAGTGCACTCCGTTGAGTTGAGCCTAAAGCTCCGTATGAAAATGCCTGCGGCTGAAGCCTGCTTGGACAAAGTCGCAGTACTGGAGTGCGCCAGATCTGGCGTAGAGCAGCACACTGTCGGTGGTGGCGATGAAAATCGGTGTTGCCGGTCGATCCCGATCAACGCCACACAGGGGCCTTCGAGGGTGCGCGCTCCGATTACAGTCACAGAGCCCCAGTTTTTAAGGAGCAGAGCCCTTGACTGGATTCGTATGGGGGTTTCCGGAACTAGGGGACCCTTATACAGTACCCTATAATAGTAGGATCCTTATTATAAGGACCCCAAAATAAGGTACCCCCTCATTTTCGGAAACTCCCATATGGCCACAGATTCCTGGTCCCCAGATCCCATGACTGAAGCGCCCGAAGGCTACAGCTGCTATAGCTGCTGGTGTCCCAACCTTAGGGACGAAATGGCCCTTAAAAGGAGGGGCCCTATACCCTTATACTATGAGTCCCTATATGGTATATGAACCCTAAAACCTTTTAGGGTTCATGTCGTCCTTAAGGAAATTAGTAAAGTCCATTTCGTGGTTTCTGGGAGGTCCCTGCCAAGCATCATGATTGCTTCCAGGTGTCTCCGTCCCAGACCGATTTCGGGGACCAATTGTCAAGCATCCTGCTGACCTCGCCGGGCATTGTGGAGGGTGGGTGGGTGGCACGAAATCCCTCGTTGTCCGAAAAACCGAACTGAAAACCCCTAAAGCAAGGCAAAAATTCTTCCTGGCCCGAAACCCCTATTAAAAAGACCCTCAACCCCAAACCCCATCAGGGGCGCTTTTTAAGCCAATTTCTTTTCCCGAGGCCTTCACGAAGGAGCTGAAGGCCGAGGCGGCGACGGCCAGCTCCGGTACGGGCCTAGCTTTGCCCGGGTCCCCAGGTTTCTGCGCTCTGCGGTTTAGGCCTAGGCCCAAAAGTAGTTCTTTTTTGTGGTTTATATTTAGAATCCTATAAGGCAAGCCCAAAAAAAACTACTAAGGAGCCCATGGGTAGGCCTAGGGTTTATAGGACTGGCTAGGAGTGGGACTGGGCCTAGCAGCAATGTTTGGCGCGAGGCGACAAGAGCCAGGGTCGTTAGCTGTGCGGGGAGGATAGGGGAAAGTCGCGTCCTGAGTCCCCCCCCGCCCCCCAGCGATCGTGCTAAACTTAGCAGGATCACGGATTGAGGGTATTGGTGTCGCATCTGCTGGCCGGCTGCCCCTTCTTTCAGCCGGTGAAAGGTTTATAGGCTCCCGGGGCTCAAGTTCTCAAGGGCGAGCAAGGTTGGGGGCGGGTAGCTGGAGTGATGAGAGTTTCTGCCTCATCGGTGCTTGGCTGGGAACGGAGGATGGACAGGTTGTGGCATTGGGCAGTTGGCATGATTCTGCACGGGCTGGACTTGCGCCACGTGCATCACACATCGCGGTAAAGCAGTGGGGTCCGTTGCATGCGCTTGCAGCCATGCAAGACATCCAAATTGAGCGTCGCGTGATGAGGTTCGGCACCCTGCTGTGTGCCATGATCCTCTTCTACTTGGCCTTTCGGTTGCATTGGCCATGCGAAATCGAGGCCGGCATGTCTCACAAGCCAAGGTCAACCAGCCGCACAAGGACTCCCCTCTCGGCTCTGGCGTACCTATATCGGGCATGTAGGGGGACAGTGCTGCCTTCCACTTCCACATTATAATATCGAGCCGTGAACTCCACAGCTTGCCCATGCTAGTTTGACAGCTTCAGGTTCTACAACTTGTAGGTTTCTCAATGCAAAAGGGCAGTTTAGCAGCTCACTCCCCGCACTGCACATCGCTGCACCAGAGGACTTGCAAATCAGTACCTGGCAGCTCCTTAGTGGAAACATCGCCCTGTTTTGTACCGAGCCTTGGCCGACATCGGGCGGAGCTTTCGGAGCCCTGGGGCCCTGCCTAGGAGGGTCCGAGCATTCTCACTGCTTGGCATAGACCTCTGCAGTGTCAATTCCAGCACCAGAGTATTCAGAAAGACTACAGCTTTGAAGCTTGTCATAATCGGGTCATATTCCTACTTATATTCATCACCTGGACCGAAGCGGAAGATTCAACGATGAGGTCATCTTGTTCATGGCGCTGAAGAAGCTCTGGAAGTGCATCGTGGGAAGCCTGCCGTCGCCCCAGGATGGATCTTCAGGGTGACGATTGCGCGCACTGAATTCTCAGCAGCAGCAATTTGAAGCAAAAAGGCAAAGTAGGGTCAGGAGCCATGCCCTGGCATCAGTACATCCCTGGGGCTATATATAACGCCAAACTAGCAGTCAGTGGCCGATGTTTGCTGCATCTTTGCAGTATAGCCGCAGCCGACATGTTAGGTTAGGTCTGATATACACACACGCAAATGTTTCCCGGTAGCAATCGCACGTCAACGCAAGCGGCAGCTGAGGCAGGACTACCAAGACCCGAGTGAAAGGCAGAAGCCTCAGCGCATCGCCAACCACATGATGGATGGTCCAACTGTACCACAGGGGAGTTTCCAAAAATAAGGGGTAACTTAAATTGGGGGTCCTAATAATAAGGATGCTACTATTTAGGGTACTATATGAGGGTCCCCTATTTTCGGAAACCCCCACAAGGGTCCTTTACTTCACCGGGAAGCTGAGGCTTGAATGGGGGAGCGAGCTGGCGACTGCGGGCTACTTCCTGTCCTTTCTGAAGTTCGCGGCCCTGATGCGCCCTTGACGCACCCAATGCACCCTAAAACCCAACACCCAAAGCGCCAAGCCCTCAACCCACTACTATAGCACCTTAGCCCCTGAACCCCGGCTCGTACCTTGAGCAAGCCATGCTCGCTTTGATCCGCTTCCAGCCTGCGCAGGACGCAGTCACCCAGAGACCAGTTTAGGGTGTAGGGCAGACAGACAGATGAGCACATGGCGGCCAATGAGTAGGGTCTAGCGACTGGCAGTTGGTGATTGGCATCACAAGCCGAAGACAGATGGGTTGCTCAGAGCCCTGTCAGGTTCTTCTTCCCGATGCTCAAGCACCCTGGCTTAGGGGGCGGCTGGGGTATTCTAGATGCAGCACATGCCGATTGAAAAGAGTCTGCACCACAAAATTTGAAACCCCTGAAGCATCCTCGAACCTACAGCTCTCCATCTGCCACTTGCAGCAGCTGTATCCAGGTCTAAGCTGCAGGACAAGACTCGTCTCGCGGCTGCGAGGACTGGGTTCGGCTGTGGGGGCCCTTTTGACTCCTTATAAGCGAAACGCGAACCTGCAAGGGCCGAAAACTCTAAGAGGGTGGTTGCTTGACGGGGCAATAGGCGGGTGTACCCAGAGGACTGTGAATCCCAAATCCTCCAACACGGACCTGGCTGATAGTGGCAGAGGCTCCTCCGTGCTTCCTTTGCAGAGAACACTTTCATCACCAGCACTTGTATAGTGTCGACTAGAATACCAGCATCGGTTGATGTCACAATCGAAATTAAATCGGTTTGAGCAGGACCTGTGGCACGTACCTCATTGGCTACGCTGGATCCGACAGTGCTGCGGCTGCAAGTCGCGGTCCTTGCCGTGTCGATACATGACATGCATCCGGCGGATGGTGGAGTATTTCGAAGTTGGCTCGGAGCGAGTTCTGATTAATTAGGGACCAGGCGAGATGCAGCTGCGTCGGCAAGCGTCCTGTGCTTCAAGGCTTTGCTTACATCTTGAGCCTGGAGCCCTTCAGCAGCTGCTCGTCTTTTCATATGTGAGCATCTGCATCTTGGGTTTGAGTTCACGTTGCCGTCGTGCAAGAGCGCCCACCCATGCCCCGGCAGTTCAGAATGTGGACATAAATGGCAACGTTGTCGAAGCCACCATGTGGATATGGAAGAAAGGGCCCTCTCTTAGCGTGAGCAACGAAGGATCTTGCAAACACTACCTGTTGTCCGACCAACTGCCAGGTCTGATGACTGTTGGTAAAGTATCACAACAACGACGAAGGCTGTAGTACCATCACACAAGCTTAGGCTCTAAACCCGGGTCTTGAACAGCGTTAACAGAGACCAGGTGGTGCAGGGTACTGCTTCCTCGGCCTGCTGCTCATGCTGGTGGTCCTTTCTGGACTTCTCTGCCTCGCGTTTAGGCAAGGTGTTGGATGGTCGGGGCGCAGTCTCCGGTGGATTCTGTGACATTCTATAGGACACGGGTTTAGGGCACGAGGGTACTTTTGTCAGGTGTTGTTCGTGGTAAACGACATTTCCATCAAATGCCAGTGCATACCCAGGACACAAAATGCTGACGACAGGTGTTCTTTTGTGTTTTCAGGTTGTGCAGCACTGCACCACCGCCTCCCTGAATGGCATAGAGTCTTTGAGCCATCGTGTCCCTTTGAAAGAAGTTGATGCTGCCCACAGTGATATGAAGGCTTGCCGATCGAATGCAGCCAAGCGACGGCTACGATCCAGACAGAGAGGCCGGACGGTTGTGCTGCAACGAGGGTTCGAACAGCTCCGGGGCTCGTACACGCGATCCAGGGGCTTCAAGGCGCAGCAGCCGTGCTAGTTTGATGTTGCATCCAGTCACAGTCTTCCGCAGCGGCATGTCAGAGCTTGTGCTCGGATGGCGAGTTATAATTATGTACCCGCAGCATGCGGTCCCCACCTTGAAGTTGATTCTTGGGACGCTCTGACGAATGGCACGCCCGCGCATTGTGAGCGTCACTTCGTGAGGAGGAGCAAATCGAGGCCGCTGGATTCCAGATCGCATTCCTCTTGCCGCCTGGCTTTGCAAAAGGGTTTAGGGCTTTTAGGGCTTTAGGGCTATTTTAGGGTTTATAGGGTTTGCACCATCCCGTGGCGGTGTCCTGAGGCTTGTTTGGAGGATGCGCGGGCGCAGTTCCCAATCACAAAGTTGTGCTGTCTCCTGCCATACCAAAACCATCCGATACTGCTGCGCTCTACTAGAAGCGAACTACTCTAGTGTACGGTACTCTACTATGTACCGGACTGTACTAGACTGCCAGATCACCTCGATCTTGGCCTCCCCACATGCCGAAGCTTCTTCGTATGGCTACTCAAACCCAATAAGGAAGAGGAACTTGAAGTTTTAGTACGATCCCAGCCATGAACTACCTATAGTCTCCATTGTAGTTCCTTTTTGGGGTTACCTTTTAGGATCCTTAATATAGATTTGGTTAAACCAAAAAAAGGAACTACAATGGAGACTATAGGTAGTCTTCATTCAGCCCACTCACTGAATCTGTTCTGGAAGCCTTTTGCACGGAGAGGTCCGTTTGGATCCGCTTCCTCGTCACGGGCTTTCTTCCTGGCAGTGCTTCGCCTTCGGTTAGTAAGGTTTAGGGTTCAAGGCTTCCTTTAATGAGATGTAGAACGGCTACTCTAAGGGTATAGGGTGTAAGGGCCGGCATAATTAGAATAGGGTTTTGGGTTTATATTATACGATAATCATAATAAGGAACCGCCGCAAAATTCAATGGTATCGGTAATTATTTAGGCCCCTACATTAAGGTTTAGGGCTCAAGCCAGTTAGGATTTCGGATGCCTGGCCGCACTTGTAAGGAGATCATCTTCACAGGGCTGATCCCCTCCTAGGTGCAAGCCCTCCCCTGCCCTCCGACTCCCAATTCGGTCAGTTTGGCTGGGGTCTTAGTTGTTAAGAGGCGAGGGCCTGGTGTGGAGCAGGGCTGGACGGCTACTATAGGGGCCCTAACAATTGGAATAGGGTTTTGGGGCCCATTATACTATAATTTTAATAAGGAACCCCCAAAATAGTATAGGTAATTATTTAGGCCCCTACATTACCTACCCATCGAATCGGTTTGCGATCCACCGATGAACTTGGCCCGGCTTCTGCGAGTGCGCCTAGCTCAGCTCCCGGTGTTTTTTGCCCAAGCCGCAACGCACGACACCCGTGTGAACGTAGAGGCTCAGTCCCTCTCTAGACTTTGGGCTGTCACCCACCCATGATGCGGGAGGACAAAACTCCTTTCTAAACACTATAGCGACCTGGACCTCACAGCGCGAACCTCCCCCCTACAAAAGCTAAGGGTTGAAGATGGTTTATAAGCGTCCCTAGACTCTGTCGTATTACCCCCTCATATAAGTCCTGCATTGCCTTAAGCTGAGAATTATGGTATATTCCTTATTATGGGTAATGCAGGATTTATATCATCAACCGTATTTAAGACCTGCCTTCCACCCCGGGCCCCAAGCAGGCAAGAAAGGAGCTCGGGCGCTGGTCCTGGGTGACTTGAACCTCTCCTGCACCGGTACGGTTTAGGGTTTAGGGACCAGGGAGTCGAAATCTTCCAAAACGGAGTTCTATGGGTGATGTTCTCTTTCGGGAGTTCTGTAAGGATTCTAAGGGCTCCATAGGTTTGAAGCATGTGATAAGCGTTTTCCGTGGTTGTCCTAAAAATCCTAAATTCGATGAAGGCTCCATGATCAGTTTCCTAAGTTGTCCGAAGAGTTCGAGTCAGACTCTAGTCGATGGAGTACTACAAGGGTTCCATGCGGAGTTTGAGGCAGGTTTCCGGGTACTTCAGGGGAATCTCAACGGAATCTATGTAGCCTGGTTCGGTCTTACAAGAAGGTGGGTCGTGGCAGTTGAGGGTAGGATTGCCTGCCCCTGCCCATGCGTTTTTGGGGACTGACCTCAGTGCCTGTCGTTGTTCTTGCCGTTCATATGCCCTTATCCTGGCAATACCATCTATGATGTTCTGTGCACCGATCCCTTTGAGGTCGTATTTGGGCACCTTTCTGCTGCTGTCGGTGGCCATCTTCGGCGCAGCCATGTTCAAGATCCGGCCCTTGGCTGGCCAGACGGACAGGACCGCGCCGTGCAAAGACTCGCAGGGAGCAGTAGGAGCAATCCAAGGAGCCCTCCAGTCTCCCGAGGCATCAACCAGAGTAGGGTTTAGGGTTTAGGGCAGGGAGATTTCATGCAGAATCTGTATGACAAACGCCCTTGTGGTGTGCGGCCCTGCGCACATTCTCAATGATGGCTAAGGCCGTTGCCGTGTTTTCCAAAACCCGAACCTGAGGCCTATGATTTCCTTGAAGACGGGTCGCTCGTGAGTGATACTCTAGTAAAATATAGTAGAGTTTAGTGTAGTCCAGTAAAGTATAGCATACCACATTACATTTTACTACATTAAATGATATATTACTGTGTATATGTGTATGTATATGTATATATATATGTGTGTATATATTTACTTATATATATATATGTTTTTTATATTCCTTTTATATCATATCATATCATATCATATTATATTCAGCCCCAACGCCTCATCACCAGGAGGCCAGCAATGAGACGCTTCTTCCGGATACTCACCGAGACCAGCGCCATGACAATGGGCTGCTGGGCTACGGAGATCAGATCCGAGCGAGGAGCTTGAGAAAGCGAGCATAATTCTAGGTTGAGAGGTGGAAGCACAGAGAGAGAGAGAGAGAGAGACAGACCGACTGAAAGACAGCAGACCATGGCGCAGCGCGAGAGCGCAGGGGTTGGGGTCCTAGGGCCACGCCCCAAACGCCGTGCAAGCAAGCAAGCAAGAGAGAGAGAGAGAGAGAGAGTGAGAGAGAAAGAGAGAGTGAGAGTGAGAGGGGGGGAGAAATTCCCGGCCCACAGCCCTGGCGAAAGAAAGAGAGTGAGAGCCAGCGAGAGCATGCCGTCCCTTTCGTAGTTGCAGGGGCCCTCCTTCAACTTTAGCTTCTGCCACAAGTGGAACCAAGATTAAGGGTCGGTTTAGGGCCGTAGATCCATATTGCTTGCATGAGATCTCGTTCTGTTGACCTGCTGTACGACCTTTCAGATGCATGGGTTCGCAAGGCTTTCGAGCGTCGTCATGAAGTGCTAGGTTCGAGGGTTTGCTGCACCTTTCCGGCCAGAACTTTACAGCCCTAAACCCTGAACCCTAAACCCTAAACCCGGATGCAATAAAGGGCTCAACAAATACCTACGGGTTTGGGGGGTTGACGGCTTGGGGGGTATTGGAGTTACGGTATCGCCAAAGTTTACAGGTCACCGAACTCGAGTTGTCGGACCTGTCAGGTCTCGGGCACACCTTATTATTCGTTAATTGTAATCCACCTTATTATAGTAGCAGCTTTCCTTTCTACGAAGCCCGAGGCCCTATGTCCTCCAACCCTGTCTTTAAAACCTAAACCCTCGCCCCTAAATCCTCAATCCTGTTTCGCCTAGCGACTGCATCCTTTCAATTGAAAGCCGGAAAATCCTGGCTATGGCTCAAGCCCCTTGCAGGCCTCAAGGCGTTCGATGCCATGGCTTGTCAGGGTGAAATCGTTTACCTGCACGGTTGGAGTGGCCATCCATCCTGTGACAAGCTGACAGAAAGCCTTCCGGACGGAATCGTCCTTACTCTGCTTACGTATCATCCAGGTGGCAATATTCAAGAGACCAAGATCAAGTCATTCCTGGAGGAGCTGCGGAGCCGAGCGCTAAACAATGCCCCTTTCCTTGCACTCGTGGGTTACTCGTTTGGCGGCCTCTTGGCCGCCCTGTACCAAGAGAAGTTTCCACATCTTGTGAACCCGAGTCGTGCTGCTGGCACCTGCAATTGACAACTTTAACCGGAACTACGAAAATCTTGCTGAGTCTGTCCTGGACGAAAAGCCACACTATGTGAAAGAGCTGAAAGACTACAATCAGAGTTCCGGCAGTCGTGATTCACGGCCAGCAGGACACGGATGCGGGCGGTTCGGCGTTGTGGCGGGTGGAGGAGTGGACCGGCGACGACAAGCACAAACAGCCCGTCGTAAGGCGCTTTTTCCCAAACGCAGCACACGACCTGCAGGGTATTGTCGGAGCAGCAGGCAGTCTTTCATGGGTTGTCCTTGCCCACTGGGCGGTGCAGGGGGGATGCAGTCGTCCTTCCATACTACGCCAATGTGATAGATGGCGAGATAGGCTTTGAGACTGCCTACGCTCTGCAGCGCTTCTTGCTTGACCAAAGGTTCATTATCAATGTCAGTGACATTGATGGCAAGTGGTCAGATAAGACTTCAACGCGATTTCAGGAGTTAGTGGGTTGGGCACCCAACCGGACGAAGGGGTGAACGGGGACTGGGGGAAAGACAGCATCAAGGCGTTGCAGCGATTTCTCGCGCAAGCGCGTTTCCAGTGCTGCGTGCCACCGCCCTGAACGGCAATATTTCAGACTTCCTGTCTGTGTGTTGCGGTCGTTGTGATCACGGGCACAGTTTCTTTCCAAGGCCTGCAATGCCAGCTCCGGAATCGCCCGAAGCTTCGCCTCGTCTCGCCGAGCTACGAGTGCCAAAAAGATCCAGGTCCGAGAACTCTTTATAAAGCCTCAATCTGCTAAACCCTGAGTTTACATCAGCCGCAACTGTCTCAGAAGGCTTAAACTTTTGGGCTGGATCCGTATAAAACAAAAAACTGTGTGGATATGCGAGACTGAGCGTCAAACGCCCGGGCAGCGATTTCTCAGGTTGGCTCCTGATGTTCTGGGTGCCTTGAGCAGCAGCAGTTTGTATTGGGTGAGTGGAAGGGTATTTCTAGGAATACTCTACAATTTCTTTAGTGACTTCGGGTTACGGCTTGGTTCCAGGCTTGAGGGTGTTGCTCTTATCCTAATCCTTCAACCCACATCTTGGCGCTTCGGGTGCCAGCCATTTCATGACCAGGCCTGGTCGGTGCATTTAGTACATTACAGCTCACTATAGTACTTTATAGTATGTCAGTTACAATATTACAGCGAGGATCATTATAGTAATATATATATATAGAGAGAGAGAGAGAGATATTATGTCAGCTATAGTATATTATGGCGAGGATCGTGTTTTCGGCTTGTGATGCAGTGAACGAAGGACTTTGCGAGGTGGTTCTATACTGTTCTGGGTGTTTTGGATGTTTTCTGACAGCCATTGCTGCCGGAGGTCCCACTTCTAAGCATACCTCTGTTTGGACTTGAATTTGCCCGGCCTGAGGCAGGGGAGCTATGAGAATCCGGTTCGTGGCGTGCGTGCGCAGATGCTCAGGTACAATGGGCTTGGTGGTATTCTCTGCAAGGCGCGGACGGCAGTCACAATGCAGGGAGACATTCGGCGTTGATGTCGTGGCCCCAGATGCCAGGTCTGCACATGGTCAGTCCTTCCTGTGCTCATAGTGCTCCAACTACTGAGGTGCCAGGCAGTTACATCGGCGGTAACCTGGCAGCAGGAGAGCACTGAGGTAGCAAGTGCCCGCGAAAGCTCTACTCCCAAGCCAATACCAGAAGAAAGCTCCGTAAACGAAGCCAAGCCGATTTTCAGCCGAGCTCGGAACTGCAGAGTACTACAATCTCCATGGCTGTGCAAACAGTGCGGGCCGTACTTAGATCATGGTCTACTGCGGCATGGTGGTGCTCTTCTTCCTCGCCAAGAGAGCCGGTAAGAATGCCTCGGACGGAGCCTTAAAACAGAGCTTGGCCGAAGGTCGCGATCTCGGCAATGTGAATCATGCTTGAAGGGGCCTTGTTTGGCCAGGCATCTCTTGAGGCCCCTGTGGGCATTGGACATCTTGCCTTCAAGTTATTACAAAGCTCTCTTCTGTCGCGAACCTAGAGGGGTTGGACACAGTGGAAGGTATCCAGTTAGTGCTTGGACTACGCACAAACCCGGTTTTCCCAGCCAAAAGTCGAGAACTGTGATCTCCACGAGGCTTTGGAACCCCCCAAACTTTTCCCGCCCCTCAGCATACCGAAACCTGAAAGCTTGAGAACAGTCTTGAGAGCTTAGGCCCTCCCCTAGATTCCATACAGCCGGTGAGCAGACACCAGAGGAGGCTTAGTAATCCTGCATACAACTACACAAGATAACCCCAAGCGTTTCCGAGAAACCCTATTGCCCTTGGAACTCCTACGGTAGCCCTCAACCCAACGGCTCAAAACCTCAGAGCCCAACCCCCCTAAACCCTAAACCCTGACGGACTTAGAGTGTGAGTGCTGAAACCCTAAACCCTCCCCCCCAAAGAAAAACCTTTAAACCCTAAGCAACCCAACGGCTCAAAACCTCAGAGGCCCAAGCTCTTCAGGCCACATAGCCCTCGAGTCCGAACTCCAAGGCCCCAGAGCCCTGAACCCAAAGCGGTTTAAGGGGTTTAGGGGTTTAGGGTGTTCAGGTGTTTAGGGCTTTAGGGGTTTATGGGTTTAAGGTTAAGGGGTTTAGGGGTTTAGGGTTGAGGGTTTAACCCAACCTTAGACCTCCAAAAAAAATCCAACAACGCACTTAGAGGTTCATGGGTAGTTATAAGTGGGGTTATTAGTAGGGCAACTATAGTTATAACTTATAACCCAAATTAGGGGACTTATAACCCCACTTATAACTACCCATGAACCTCCAAGCAAGAACAAGGACTTCAAGGAGCTGACCAATGCATGGGTACTGCAGACAGGCTTTTGCTGGGAAGTGGCCTCCCGGCCTCGAACCGAAAATGGGGGATACTCTTGATGCATTACCTTAAGGACCCGAAACTATGAGAATTATGGTATGTTGCTTATTATGGGTAATGCAGGAGGTATATCATCAAAAGTAGTAGAAGTGTTCCTTTAGGATTATTACAAGTCCTCGAAGGCTGATTGGAGGTGAGGGGTTACTCTAAATAGGGTTATTGAATGCTTACTATAGTTAGGGTTTCCAGCGGGGACACAAAAAGGATTGCCGGTTTTCTGTTAAATTGTCACCGTAAGGGTTGGCACAAACGGCTTACTGTGAAGGTTTTAGAGCTTTCCGCGGGCATGGCGGTTTGAGGTGTCGGATATTTTGGGGATCTAAACAGGCGACCCTAGTTTAGAGAACTTCCCTTGTACTGTAGATGCAGGATTTTGGGAGGTTCGCCAGATGGTTCGAGCCTCTATGGTGTTTCTAAGAAGCTGCACTACACGAATAAAGCATCCGAGAGTCTGACGACTGAAATCCGGAGGCCTCAGCCCTAAACGACATTTTTGGCCTTGGAGGGCTTCACACCTGGGACCGGGCAAATGTTTGCGAAAGAAAGGCTAGCTAGGCTAGGCGTGTTCCGGGACGGAGAAAGACTTTCGGGAGAGTGACAGAGCCTCAATCCTCCAGCGAGCCCAAAACTCTCGAAATGTGAGGGGCTGCGTGATGCCGAACTAGTGCCCCGAACTGACACTGAGGCTATCTATGAAGGTCTCATTGATGCACATTCGGCTACCTACAGCACTCCACTGGCCAGGCAGTGCGTGGGAGATCAGAATGTGTGAAGCTCTCTGCACGTCCGTATGGTTGTTCAATCCGACATGCCCTCATCTGTTCCAACAATCTGAAGGCGGATGGCGGCTATTGCTCCTTGGCTGTTCATCTCCGGGAGCGTGCTGTCTTGAGTTGAGACTGCGAAAATTAGAAAAGGCGACTAGAATCACAACCCTCCATGAGCACGACCCCAGACGAAATTGTATGGCCTCGACCTTGCTGCAGTTGCATCCGCACAGTCAACGAGCGAGAACAGTAATCAGGCAGATGCGCTATGCTTCACTTGAATAGCAACAATACCTTCAGTTCGTCACCGACAGCATGAGTAGTCCATGGCATGAGCAGCCTACAGCCTCCACACTGAACAATAAGTACAAGAGAAGTCGTAAGTAACCTCGACATTTGGTGGCGTCAGTGCCGGATCGCTCCGAGATCCGAGGCATGCATCCTGCTGATCTTGATTGCGATCTTGCCGGCGTGGTACTGGTAGCCCGGCTGGCTCCATACGGTTGATGATATAAATCCCGCATTACCCATAGTAAGCAATATACCATAATTCCCATAGATTCGGGTCCTCAAGGTAATGCAGGATTTATATCATCAACAGTACCATTAATTAGGTCAGCTGGCATTCCGGAACTTGCCAGTACTAGGCCTTTACTTTGTTCAGAATAGCATACGTGGTGCTGAAGTGTCAGCCTCTTGGGGATTCATACAGTGGTTCTGCGCTTCAGGTCCAGTCAGGGCTCTGTGTTGGTCATGTACTCGGCGATTGAATTCATGTACCGCTGGCTTCCGTGGCACGTCGGGCCATGTCTGTAGCGCAAGCATTACTGTTTGAGTGGGCGCAGGCTGTTCGGGAAAGGGGAGGCTTTTCATCGGGGCTCCTGGTAGTAGGAAATTCTCGTAGAACTGAAGGGCTTCTCAACATCCGTGGCAACATCCCTCACATGGTTAGAAGGTCTGAGGCGGTTCTGATAGAGGCTACCGACCTTCCCAGGTACATCATCCCCCGAGCCATGGAGAAGGCAAGAGAGCTCGCAGGGATTCGTGGCTGTGCACGGAGCAGACAAGAGGGCACCTCACCTAGTCCTGATGAGGCAGATGGCAAGTCTGGCGATGCTGCCGGTTCTAAGGCGGAGGCTGCCCCAGCGAAGATTGCTCTGAGCAGAATGCGTCTGCATACCAGAAGCTCTGAGTTCGTTCTCGCCCGAGCCTCCCGTAGCAGGGGGCGGATGCAGAGAAGCCGGATGGAAAGAAGGCGGGCGGTTGACTGCCCCTGCAAGCCAGTGTATTCGAGTGTTGAGGTCGACGAAGAGTGAGTGTTTGGTTGGCTCAGTCGAAAGAAATGAAGCACGGCGTCGCCTAGGCTAATCGCAGTCAATCAAAGATGTTTCAGGCGTGAGGGTAGAACTCCCCAACACTCCCAACATGCTGCAAACCCTGAAGGCCTTTGCAAATAGGAACCCTAAACACGTCTGAACGACGACTGATTGTTTTGGTTTTTCCTGCCCACCTTCTGATCAAGCCTGTGTAAACATGAGAGGACGCCGGGGCAGAGGAGGCACCCAGCAAGCTCAAGGAGGCATCCAAGGACGGAGGCTTTTCTTGGATTTCTCTGGAGCCGGACTCTGGGATTGGCCAGGCTCGAGATCAGATATGCTTAGTGTTCGTAATCTTGGGCCGGGTTTTGTCTGAAGTTTCCGATTGCACGGGCCTTGAGATCATCATGAACCTTCATTAAGACTTGAAGAACACGAAAGCCACTAAAGCTCTGAAGCCATGCACACCTAAAACCCCAAAAGGCAAAACAAAACACGAAAAGACTACAGCCACGCACCGAGAACTGTGCCAAACAAGACTCCAAACCCAAGCCCCGGATTTGTGAGAATCATCTGCAAAGCCCGTTGCCTCTCGAATCTTGACAGCGCATCCCTTTGTGTGTCCTATATAAAGTAGCTTTCGGTAGTGTACTGAACTTAGAAAGGTTATATGCTAAGTAAGGTAAAACCTCGCTATCTTAGTTGTAATGTCACTACTCATAAGCCTACTTGCTAAGTCTCCTGATCTTTTCAGTAGTTTACCAGCTTACACACCATAAAGCCAGGGTAGGTAGGGAGGGGGAACAGCCCAAAACACTAAAGTTGGGGTTCTCCTAAATCCTAAACCCTCAAGGGGGAAAACGGTGCTTAACAAAAAGAAAAAAAAGTGTTCTATTGGCTTCTGTGGCCAGGAGGAGCCGACCCCTTCGCCCCCAGCCGAGACTGCAGAGGACCCTGTGGAAGTAGTAGGGTTGATGGTATAAATCCTTGGAATTACCTTCTAAGGACCCTAAACTATCATAACAACGGCTTGGGGTTTAGGGTTTAGGGTTATAAATCCTTAGCATTTACCTTTTTAAGGACCCTAAAACTATATGGGAGTCATGGTAATGATGGGGTAATGCAGGATGTATACCATCAACCGTAGGATTCAGGCTTTTGAAGCTTCAGGAAGGCTTTGGGGGAGGAGGGGCCGTGTTGTTGAGGGTTCACTTTCGGATGAACGCCAATGACCGCCGTGCAGGAGCCAAAGCCAAAGCCTGAAGACGAGGCCTGGCTCTGGGGCGCAGCAGGAAAAGTTCAACAACCTACAAGTATCACCAGCCTATATTTCGATTGGCTTTTGGCAGACGACTAGCAGAGTCGTATTATAATCAGCCGGTATCCATGCGGAACGTTTTGTCATCATCGCGGTGCACATGCTGTTGCAAGCCTGCGAAACCCCGCCACCTGTTGCCAAGGACTTCTGACGCTGTTCTCGCAGGAGCTGCGCCGAGAGAGACAAAAGCGAGCGAATGCTCGGGGTGACTCACTGTCGCGGCATGGTTGCGCAGGTTCGAATATTTTCGGAGGCCGTGCTGTGGGCTAGCAATTGCACCTGTGAGCCGCAAG